CCTACTGCCCCAAGCCCCACATCACCCCTGAAAGCAATGGTTGTAACTCACTAAGTATTCTCAGAGCTCACATGGGATCTGAGCTGGTATTTGGCACCACTGATATTTTATCAGGTTGAGCTTGGGTTGAGATTGCAGTGGGGCATTTGAGGGCAGAAAGTTTCACTGGCAGGAGAATCAGAACATTTTAATTTTGTGATAGCTGGGAAATGAGAGGTAGGGACAGACCACTTCAGTGTATGTTCCCCTCGAATTGCAAAACAGGCATCTTGAAATCAAGCATCTATCTGCTGAAGAAAGATTATTGGAAACTTTTCAGACCTAAAAACCAGTTTTGATACATGAAGAACTGAAATTCAATACCCCTGGGAAATGTGCTTTTCACTCTCCCTTTTCATTTATTTCCAAAAATTGGTACATTTCATAGAAATGTTTATGATTTTGTGGAGGGGGATGTAAGTGAGGCTGTTTTTCCTTGGCAATTTGCACCAATGTTTTTTCTCAGCAACTCTAATTACAATCAGCTGAGTTTGGGCTTAAGTTTACTCAATCATACAGCCCCTTTTTAAATGACATTTGGCAGGTTTCCAGTACTGCAATACACAAATTTCCTCAAATGTTAAAACCTGCACTAGACAGGCACAGTTTGAAGTAGGTGTTTCTGAAAGAAAAACAGAATATTTGAGGGATATCACATACAGAAAAATGTCTGAAGAATCTTTAGTTTTAAGGTCATCACAGACTTATTGAGAAATAATGTCTCAAGCACCCTAAACACAATTCTTCAACCACTAAGAATAATGTTTGTGTTATAAAAGTTACAATACAAAAAAATGGGACCAATGTTCAGAGTATTACTGATACTGCATCCAGTTAATGCCTCTAATTGCAAGGCAACTTTTTCATCTGTACAATTGCATGAAATATGAAGTCTTGAAGGTAATCATCTACATCGTACAAAAAACTCCCAGCCAAACTGATATATAGGCTCCCTGATGACCTTGGTCCTTAAAAAATATGCAGAAAGGCCTTGAGACCCTCTAAATGTATATTTTTGTTTCTCTATTAAAACTTGCTGCAACTAACTCTGATGTCCAATCAGCCAGGCAAGGCATTTCACTTAAAAACCAGGGTGTGCCACACAGCCTTGCCCTATGGTAATGAAAGGTAAGGAAAAGGCTGAGGTGCTTAATGACTTATTTGCCTTAGTCTTCCATAACAGTACCAGTTTAGTTGAGGGAATGCAACTCCCTAATCTAGGTGGCAGAGACCAGGAGCAGAACAATCCCCCCACAATCCAGGAGGAGATGGTCAGTGACCTGCTACACCATATAAATGTGCACAGATCTATGGGGCTGGGTGGGCCCCACTCTTATGTAGGAGGGTTACATTGGCTGATTTCCAATCTGCTGGTACCTCTCCAGTCAGCCAGGACTGCTGATAAATGATGGAAAGTGGCTTAATGAGCGCTCTCACCAGCTTCAGACATTAGGAAAAATTTATTCACAGAAAGAGTGGTGAGGCATTGGAACAGGTTGCCCAGAAAAGTGGTGGAGTCACTGTCCCTGGAGGTGTTCAAAAAATGGGTGGAGGTAGTGTTTCAGGAGATGGCTTAATGGTTAGGGGTTGAGGGCAGACAGTTAGACTTGATGGTCTTGAAGGTCTTTTTCTAACCTTGATGATTCAATTATTCTATGCCTTGCTCTGTGGTCAGGATGCAATCTCTTTAAAACCATTGGAACCATGGAAAGTAAGAACTGATACTAAAATTTGGAATGGGCAGCTAAGCTGCTGACAGTGACATTCCTACCCATGTAAAACGCACTAGGGGGATGATGCTCAAGCTTTCCTGTTAGGTATCTACGAGGTTGCTGCACCATGTAACACAGGTGTCTTTTTGCCAACATCCTGTCCCTAATAATTGCCAAAAAAAAACCCAAAACCAAAAAACATGAAAAAAGGAGGGAATTGTCCTATGAGGGTCAATAGCAAAGCCAGACCCTACTGCAGGCTTGGCCCATTGAGGAGGCTCCCAGGCGGCTGAGTCCATCCAAAACGCTTGATATTTCAGCAACAGCCAAGAGCTGTGTCCTTCAAAAGGAAACCCAAGGAGCGAGTCAGGACACTGTCTGTCAGCTTCACTGTTGCTCCAGTTATTTTGTTTGAGCCGTTTTCCTAGAAAAAAAAAAAGTCACATCAACATTGTGGCACCCATGGCTGGTCAGAGCTGCGTGCACCTGCAGTGAGGGGCATGTGCTGCTCTCAGCCACAGTTTTTCCTCCTCTCCCTGTTTCTATCTCATCCTGTTTAACTTTTAAGCCCTGTTCGCTCACTCTTCTAGTCAAAACAGGGCTTTATTTTTCTTTCCTAGGATGTGCAAGGCTAGTGCAACTAGTTAGAGAAGCAAGCTGTCCTCCTTCCCCAACATCAATACCCTCCTTGCCAACAATAATTATATTACACAGGGAGTTTTTATCTTATCTGCTGATGCATGCAAGGGGGTGGTGGTGTTAGTGATGGGATATGCCACCTCTTGATGCTTTCTGGGTTTTCTTAAATGCCACATTTTGACCTACAAGATTAGGAAAAGGATTCCTCACATTCATCTGCAACTCTGCTGGCAGTTGCCCCTTCAGCCTCTGGCCTGGGTCTGGCACATACCTTGCAGCCTAATTTGTTCACACACTCTGCATTTTCTTCACACCCATACCATGCTTTAACTCCCAAAGAGGTATTTCCACTCCCCCAAGTGAAGTTTCAACTTCTTATTCAGAAATGCATTTGCTTAGACAAGCCCACTAAGCAGGACAGGAGCCCTAACATACACACACAGCAGAAAACATTCTCCGTATCTCTGTCTTTCTCTGCAATTTAACTTTAGGGTTTCAATTTGGTACATTTACTGGCTTCAGCCATTGCTCAAAAGTGCTCAAAACATGTCAGATCAGGCAGCGGATGCTACTGGGAAGAAAGACTTGGCCCAAACAGGAAGCCTTTATTAATTTAACTTGATTTCACCAAATTCTGAAGGGCTTGGAAACTAAATTCAGTTGCAAATAGGACATCAGAGAGGAATTCAGTCACATCTACCAGCTCAGCAGGAGCCAAAATTCTTACCTGTGAAGCAATCTTCGATCATTTTGTTGTCATAACAGCCATGAAAATAATTGAGCTATGTTATTTGGCTTTACTCCCCTTTCTGCAAGGCTGCCAGTCTAACCATTTCAGCAACAGCACTGCCAGTTCAGCATTGTCCATGGCAACAGGGCTGTACCTCTTCAGAGGGAAAGCAGAATGGCTAGAAGTGGGATTGTAAAGAATATAAGCTGCTTCTGAGATCCAGAAGGTTACTGGTATAAATATATTTATACACACACACACACTCTTATTCTGTTTGGAATACCAAACCTGCTTCAGCAACTTTTTCTGTCATGGTAATTAAGTTTCTCTTGTATAATTTTGGGGTTTTTTTCCGGCTGATCAATGAAAGATTGAACAGGGAGGCTGCAGACAACATATAGAGTAATCTGCTTGCTTCACAGATGGCTGAAGTGGAGCAGGAATTTGATGTGCTACCCTTCTGTTGGGGTTTTGGAATTCAAACAGAAATTAAGACTTAGTCTTACAATGGAGACCTTTGTTTCTGGCTGGGCTCAACCCTGAATGATAAACAGTTTATTACAGCTATGATAGTAGTGATGATGGTGAAGTTCATGCTAACAAGTGGGGATAATGCAAATGTTCATCCTTGTACATGAAATACCAGAGCACTGTTGCTTTCCCCATTGGTGTTACATAATGCTTTCTCTAGATGCCATCCTCACAGGTTGGTGCCTCCCTCAGATCTCACTGGTAGATCAGACAGGGGTATCAGACAAACTCTCTTTTCTCCTACTGTGCACAGGGGGCTTTTGGGACACCCTTGGTGTATAATAGATGTCAGTTACGGTTGACGGTGGTCTCGTGCTTCCTTGGCTTAACACTCAAATCAGGCAGCATGAGCAATTCTCTCTTGCTATCTCTGTCCCTTAACGATTTTCTTTCCCTGCAGCTTTGATTTGGCTGTGGGGCAGAGATCCAAGGGAGAACTTTGATTTATTTTGCCTCTGCTCAGGAGAGGCAGCACAGATTTCGTGCCTGGTCGCTCCTCTGAGCCCTTTCCTCTACCAAGAAGGGCCCCCGAACCTCTCCCCAGTCACATGTGGATAGTAAAGCTTGTTCACAGCAACTCTGTCACTAAACCCAAACTGATACCCTCTGGGCTCTTGAACGCCTTCTCCACTCTTAGACCAAGCTTTGTGTACACAGGCTGGCTTAGCCCCAGGTAATCACAGCAACGGCCTATTTTCTTGCTGCTCTCAGGTCAAGAAAGCAAGGGGGGAAGGGCATAATAACATGCTTCTCTCTTTGTTTTGCAAGCACCTACCTGTTACACAATACCCCACTGACATCCACTGTGTCTGTTTTTTGTTCCCTCTCCCTCACCCCAAGTTCTCTCAGCTGATTAAAATCTTCAACTCGCTGGGTCCTGAGAAGTTCCCCCTCGTGGAGCAAACATTCTTCCCAAGCCATAAGCAGATGGTGAGTACCTTTGCTTTCTTCTGACAATAGTGCGAATGTGAGTTGGGCATAAGAGATGGTGGTGAGAATGCTGGGAAGACTCTCAATTTTACTTACAGAGAATTACTAGCTAAAAAGCAACAGGCAAAAAGCAAAAATCAGTTGTTAAATCTAGTCAACAAAAGCTCATCCCTTAGAGCAATCACTTTATTCAGACAAAATGGGTTTTTTTTCCCCTTCTGAAATTGCTTAAAATATGTTGGTGATTGCAGGCACGGGCCATAAGAGTTGTTTGTTTCACAATGTCAGTTTGCTTGGTCTGTCACATGGTTGCCATCCATGAAACATTTATCAGCCTGACTAGGTACTCTAAGCAAGTTGGAGTTTTTGAAAGAGTTTGTTTAGCTTTTATTGTTTCCTTTGCACAGTGGCTCTGGGGTCTAGTCTTTCTGTCAACAACTAAACACTCAGTGCCCTGTGTGGCTACTGGGCACGGTACCAAACTCTTAGGGCACCTTCCAAAGAGATCTGTGTAGGTGCCTTTGGTCCTGGAGAAAACAACAAAGTGAGCAGCTTTGTTTAAAAGTGTTCATGTCTCTTGCTTTCCCTGGGTTAAAAAACAGGGTAGTCCTTCATGAATTTTTCCTCCCAACTTACATCCATGAATTAGTGGCTCTTTTTACCTGGTTGAGGCTTTGATGAGACCCTGTGTGAACCACAACGTCCCCCATGTGAGCCACTGGCTGGCTGAGCTTATTTCCCACGCTTGCCTGTGAACTCTAGCAGCACTGGCAGCCTGAAGGTTAGGGTTTTTGAGATGTCAAACTCAGGCTCAAAACCATTCAAACCCCTCTTTTCTCACACACATTTTACAACGCTGTGGGCTAACCACAATGCTCAACAGGGTGTAGATACCTGATATAGACACTAAGTGGAGCTTCAAAATCCAAAAGGAAGCTTCACTGAGATTCTTGTGAAGAATCCCACTGGTGCACACTAGGCACCTTGAAATACCTTGAAATGCCAGTCCTTCATCTCTCCATTCCAATACTCAGTTCTCTACCCATGCTGTGTGGGCAACAGCACTTCCATACCTTACGGGCACATCATGAAGGGTAAGTAAAGTCCTAAGTGCTGTGAAGGACTCTAGTTGTGCTGTGGTAAGAGTTGTATTATTAAATCATAAAGAAACAGATGGTCTTTAAAACACTATGTGACAGTTTGTTGCAGCCTTTTAAGACAGATTAGTTGATAAATCCTGCTGTGTTTAGTTCCCACCGATTTATAAAGAGGGGTTTTGTGACATATGTAATGCTTCATAACAGTTGTAACTTTGTCTGACCAACACGTCAGGAATGGTATTTTTGGAAGACTTGATTAAGGTTTTCATTGTAAATACATTAGCTAGCACTTTCAGTCTGGAAATCTGATTCTTGATTCCTCAGCATGTAAATGCATTTGTTAGTAGCACAGTAGTTTGGTTTAGCAGAGCACTGATCTTTATTTCATTTATCTGTCATCTTTCTAACTGATGAACCACTTGGAAGGCCTATTGCTTACTTGCAGATGCTACTGCTTACTCCTAAAATAATACAGGAACCTTTTAAAACTGTAGATAGCCTCATCTGAACACAAACAGTATTGTTGATATGCAAGCTTGAGTAATCTGGTTTAAATCAGTCACTTTCCAAACATTCACACAAGCAACATTCCACATGGGCAATTTCAGACCAGCTCTTTACAGGTGAGGGGTCTGCCTCACAGAATAAACCTATGTAACTTATCAATATCTTTTCTGGGTGTATCTTGACATGATTCTGGGCTGAGAGGCTGAGAGGGCAGGTGCTTAAGCCAGGAAAGCTCTGCTGCAGTCATCAGCAAATCACCAAATACCCGTGAAAGTTGCTTGGCCATGGTGCATCAGCTTCTCCATGTGTCAGATAGGAAAATAATTATGCCCCTTTTCCACTCATTTCTTCCCTTTCCTGGAGGTGATTTCAAGCTGTACCAGCCAGCACTCATAAAATACACTGTGGTCCTTTGATGGCTGACCCCCTGGAAGTGTTTATAACTAGTGTTATTGTTTTACCTCTTTGCTATGTGATATACTTTAAGTCCTTGCATGAGAGATCCTCATCCTTCTACATCCAAAACTTTCCAAAGCTTACTTTCTAAACCTTTGGATTAAACATAGAACAGATTTTAAAACGTTTCATTCTTCCAACCTTGAAGACAATAGAGACTTTCCTAAAGTAAAAGTGAGAAAAAGGAAACTTCTAACAGTAGATTCATTTCTGAGAGGATTTTAATTTAGTTGAAAATGTTTTCTCTGAAGATTCCTTCCATGATCACAGGGCATTTTTAACCAGCCTTAAACAGTAAACTTAAAGAAAGTACACAAGGCTCTGACATTTCACAGCTGAAAAGATCCACAACATGAATCTCTGTTCCCTTTGCCACGGGCATGTTCCTTTTAATCCTCCCACCAGTTTACTGGAAATAAAAGCAATCTGGCAATTGCTCTTCTGAGGCCCTGCTGGTACTACCTGACAGCCATAATGACTGCCTTGCCCTGGAGTGACCCCCTATGGCCAATTAACAAGTGGGATACGTTAACTTCAAAAGGATTTTTGTTATATTTTTTTTGTCTCCTGTATTTAAAAAGAGGGAGGGGTTGCAGGAAGGATGACTTTGCCAAAGAGCAAGAATTGCCAGAGGTGGAATATCTGCTTTGGGCCCAATAAAATGGTATTGAGAAAGGGAAGGAAATTAATAAATCCGCTTGCAAATCCATCTGTGTGTATTTGAAGTGGAGAGAAACTAAAACAAGTGAAGCAGAGACAGAATGTCTGTGATAGAAATAAAACCACTTTACTGTTTAGAATAAAAGGACACTATAAAAAGTGAACATTATGCAACATTACCTTAAAAGACAATATACATTCACTGAATATAAAATTTATAAATAACATGGAGGAAAACTGTAAACAGTGCTAGAAAATTTAGCAACAAATACATTCCTTCTGGACAAGGTTTTTCACACGGGTCTGGTTCCCTCCCCACGTTTCCATGACTATCAGGAACAACAGAGTGGCTCTATGAAGGAAGAACAGCATCAGAGAGAAGGAGAAGCCAGTACAGGCAAAGAAGTAACAAATGTTTAGTGGATTTTTAAGATTTTTCTGAAGACTGGTAGCCCCAAAAGCCACTTATTCTGAAAAAGACAAAGAACTTTTGCAGTTCCCTAAATTTTGTTCTGCCTATCTAAGCCATGAAACATATTGCAAGTGAGATACACATACTTTCAGAGGCATCTGAAAGACTGAAAACTTGTTCCATTGGAGGCCTTTACTTCAGACAGTCTTTACTGTAGATAAGACAAATGTTTCCTATCACCTTGAGGTAGCATTTTGCTCCAGCCAAGTATGAATGGGATATGAATATATATTTAGGTTTTAGAATAGTCCTACCTAAAGGGCCATGTAACTCCTTAAATATGGGAAATTTGGACCTAAACCAGCAATTTTGTCCCATACATGGGAAGGGGAAGCCTCCCACAAGAGGACTTGATTCAAGGTACTCCATGCACAGATCTCCTGCTCTCTAGCCCCTCCATTTTGGAAAAGGAAAATCAAATAGAGTCTTTCCCAAACCTTCAATATCTTTTTCCTATTATTTTTTTTTCATTCTAAAGGGGAAAACACTCTCGGGCAAGTAAGGAAAAATATCTATAAATAAGAGAGCAAACAGCAACAGCCAAGAAACGTGAAACACATTTTCAAATGTACTTTCAATAATTTTGGTGTGTTTAAAGCATAGGGGAGGGGGAGAGGAAGCTCTCATCTCGTACATGTCCAAAGGTTGTGCTCTCATGAGCTGTGCTGTTGACAGTTCCTCTGACTTTAGGTTATGGGATGAAGCAAGAAGCATGTCAGAGGTGTCAGAAAGATACTTGTGCTGCAGGAAGCCATTGTATGTTCCATAGCGTAACATTTTGGGGAGAACATCACACCTGACTCCTCACATCTCCATGCCTGGTGTTCCCACATACTGCATGGACTGCTATAATGAGGGAGAGAGCTTTGTCCACTGGCAGGTAGAAGAGACTTAGCAAGACAGAAGAAAGGAGAGCAGACAGAAGAAAGAAAAAGAGAGGAAAAGGAGCAAGTTTTTGAGTCTGTTTTAGAGCCTGTTCAATCCATTTAATGGTTCCTTCCCACTTCCTTCAGTCAGGTTCTTGATACCACAGGCTAAAGCCTAGCCCATGAAATACATGTCCCTGATAGCATGCACAGAAACAAAATTCAGAAGCCTCCCAAAAGAAATGTATTTTTACTGGATTCTTCCCCCTCCTTTTGGCTCCACATTTTTAAAAGCCTTATAAACTGTTTCTTTACACAGCAAGGGGAAAGATTCGCTACCAAACACGCACCCCTGCCTGTCTAGCTGTCTGCATCTCAGAAACATTTTACCATCTGCAATACAACACGGGAATACACTTCATTTTCTGGTAATGCATCTGCTGTTTTGTTGTTTACAAAGCACATAGCTACATTATATCCTACTTAGGGACACAAGTCCTCATAGCATTAGAATGTAAATATGTTCACAATAATTTGAGTGCAACACTGTGATGTCTCAGCTAGCTAAATGAATCAGTGACAGGTAAAATATGCAGAGCTGCAGTTTAATGAATATTCTAATCAATACTTCACTGCGTTGAGGGGCATTTTCATCTAGCCTTCTGGAGCCATGAGGAATGGCTGCAGCTCCAAGAGACACCAGCTTCGCGATGTCACCTTGAGCTTGAGGAAGGCTATCTCCAGCGATGCCGACTCCACACGACGCAAACAGTGGGGGTGGTGAGGCTGGCTTCCTCTCTGCCCTCAGTGGCCCTCAGAGATTCTGTCAGCCATGCAGAGATCAAACAGAGATTGCTCCACTGTGCCCAAAGCCCAACCCTGTTCTCTGCCAAAAGCGGCAACATTCTGACCCACCACCTGATCCTGTGATGGGTGCTGTGAAACACCCTACTCTCCCTCTCATCTCCAACCCATGATTTAGGAGTAGTCACAGGGAAGAGGACTTCTGAAAAGTCTTCCAAGTCTGAATCACAGGAAAATCCAACAGACTTTCAGTGTGGCTGCCACTCAGAGCAGCTGAAAAAAAACTAACCACCACCACAGCAGACCTAGGGACCTCTTACATCAGCTCTTTGAAAATGCCCTTTAAAGCTCACGGTAAAAATGAAGCTACTTGCTTTTTGCTGCAACAATTCATCTAGTAAATGGGGCATTTCAGGGGATGTAGGTCTGGCAGAGCTCCGGAGGCACACAAGGAACATAAAAATGCATCAGGGCCCATCTCAGAGACCCTTTATTTTTTTTTTGCACTTGACAAAGAGGCTCCAAAAAACTCTCAGTAACTGAGGTCACTGACTGTAAAATGCTGTATTGCCCCGGGGCTGGAATTACTGCAACACTTTTTCCTGCTGGTGACAGCTCTGCTTTCTAAGCGGAATGAACTGAAGATACGTGGAAACTTAAGATAAATAATCACAATAATACAAAAATGAAGTTAAGCATAATCTTCTCCCTGCCCAAGCCCTCCCCATCCAAAACTCAGTCACCCCTTTTGTCAGCACCCCTTCTCCACCATCATTAAAACTTAAAATACTTTTATTTGATAAGAAAAATTATATTATAGTTTTCTTAATAAAAAACAAAATAGAACGAAAACACTTCTCCAGTCGACAGCAAAGCACAGGACAGTAAGGCTCCTTCTCCCACATCACTGCAGGACATGGTATGAACACATGCAGAGAGCTATGCTGAACAGTGCCTAGAGGGAAACACAGCACTTGACACAGAAGGAATCCTCTGGGCAGCTGAAACTTTATGATCCCAGCCGGCACTTATTAGGAGACCACTTTTCCTTGCCTAGCCCCCCCACACGCTTCCTTTCACTGTATAAACAAATGCAGCTAGTGTAGCTGCAGGGGAGGAACCGTGGTGCAAGGAGGTGCAGAGGAAACAATGACTGTAGCCACTACTGCAGATACACTGGAGCTTCAATATCTTAAAAACAACTCACTGACTCGGAATGTCAATATTTCTGTCTTTAAAACACAATCAAACCATTCTTTTGTTTATAACACCAAAAAAAATTCCACCTCCTGTCAAAAATAGCTTATGTCATTAAATGTATATACATCTTAGTTCAGCAAAACACTATTTTGGCAATAGATTTTTTTTTTATAGTAAGAGCTCTAGCAAGTCTCCCCTTTCCCTCTTCCATGTGATTGATTTACAGTTGGTATTTTTGCATCTGTTTGGTTTAAGGTATTCACAAGGTGGTTTTGCCATTGAAGCAAAGCTGCAAAATTTCAGGGGCCAAAACTAGATGGCACAGCACTTCATCTGCTCTGCTGTAGGTGGATTTCCTCCCTGAACATAGGAGATGGGGCTTTTGTTTTTGAAACAACAACAAAAATACAAAATACTCTCTCTTTTGTTCTGGGGAAAGCCAGAACTTCAAATGTGCTGTTGCATTCACACTGTGACTGAATTAGCTAGGACAATCAGTCAGCAATGCTTTTACCAGATGATGTGGACAGACACACCAGGTGAATTCTCCCACTGCTGGAGTCAATCACATTGCCAATCTCTCCCACAGAGGAGGATTTCTTTTGGACATACGGTTTTTTTTTTTTCCCCACAGTTTAGGCTTGGTTTCTTTTCAGTTTGTTTCATTTGCCAATCTGATTAATGAAACCTGTTTTCCTTCACACAGATGTGTCTACATATTTTCAGCACTTGGTGCATGAGGAAGGGTGATGGGAAGCAAGCGCATAGAAGAATAGAGTGCCTAATTGGCATAGTTTTTAGATTTTTGTTTTCCTAAAAAAATAGAGATTATATTGCTACAGCTAATGATACATGTAAGAGAGCAAGAGCTCCATTTTTTTCTTTTTTTTTTCCTCCCATTTTTCCCTCTGGTGTGCAAAAGTAAGCTCCCAAATGTCGTCTGATCAAAATGAGTGGTATCAAAAAATGGAAAAGGTGATTACAAATTGAGTAAGGTAGCACAGACTTTTTTCTTTTCTTTCCTTTTTTTTTTTTTCCTTTTCTTTTTTAAGTATTTGAAGTGCTAAAATTTGCATGAAAACAGGCACTAATTTCATTGTCATCATCATGATCTGGTAAGAGTTAGTGTCCAAAGGAAGATCAGCCACAAGTAAGGGAGAGGGGAGATAAGGAAGGAATAGTGTGCTCAGGGATCTGTGGCATTGATTATCGTTTTATCTGGAGGTGCCCATCCTCTATACCAGCTGCAGTAACCTTCCACCCTCTGGATGCAGGCATAGTGCTTTGCTTGGTAGCCTGAGTGGCCGAAGTTGGAGAGCATGTCTGTCCAAATGCACTCATTCTTGGAGGTGGCAAAGCAGGGCAAGTAGTAGCAGGGCCGAATCTGCAATTGTAAGGAGCAATCAGTTAAGACTACATGGAAAAACAATATTTTATATAATGTCTTTTACCAGGGACAAGGGATTCAAAACTGCACTCCCTCAAACTTTGCTTACTCACCCAAAATTCAGCCTCAGTTCAAAAAGCACGTAAGCACGTGCTTATTTTCACATATGCAGGTAATTTCAGAGTCAAAAGGGCTTTTCTGGTGCAGAAAAGTAGAGCTTGTGTCTATGTTTTTGCAGGCCCGAGGCCATGAGCAAAAACCTTAGTGCCAGTGCCAGGCTGTGAGGTTTTATGCACTCAAAATGTTTACACAGGAAAAAAGTTGGACCTGTCCTGCCAAGCCTCTGGTACCTGATTTCAACAACCTGCTAATGATTCTGCATAGATTCTGAAAGCTCCAATTAATTCCAACAGGACATTAAAAAGGCATGGACTCTGCATTTGTATTTGATTGTCTGTTCTCTGGTCTCAATACTATAGCTGAGCTTTAATTTTTTGCTGTAAAAATTATTGCCCTGCATTTCTCTTCCTGGCTGTTCACCAGCATCATTGATATTACCAGCCAGGGGAAACAATTCTAGGGTTTGAATGTCTTAAGGCCACCTAATTACAGAGGCATAATTAGGTACATACCTTGCATCCACAGCCCAGATGATAGCGATGATTCAGTCCTTTACGCTGGGACAGAGTCAGTCGGTCCCATTTCTCATACCAGTTGCACAGGCCAGTGTAAACCTTCCCTTCATACACACGGCCTTGAAAACAGAGACATGATCACAAGTTAGCACTTCTCAGCTCGAGCACTTTTCTTGTTTCCTGAGATTGCTAATGATCTCAGTATGTTTGGCTTCAGTCACTGCTCAGCAACTGCTTTCTTTTTATTAACTGGTTCAGAAACCTCTGGCGAGCAAGATTACAGCACTTCTGTAAGTTAGGAGAGTTGTGCCAGCTGTAAGCATCAGCAACAACATGCAGGTGGGTAATGCTGCCAGGCTGCTCTCGACAACAAAGTGAATTGACACCTTCACTAGAAACAAGACTTGGCAACTGTCACACCTCTGTCCCCTTGCATCCCCCCATCTCAGCAGCCTGCATTTCTCCAGCTCATTCCAAAAGGGATCTTCCATTTCTGGCACAGCCAAGTAGCAAGTAGTTCCCTGTGACAGACATGCCAGCTCAGGTATGAATAGACAGCTGTGGACTATCATACAGCCTATTTGTCACCACATGGCTCAGTATAACAGATAGGTTAGGAATGAGAGGGAAACCTAAAAAATGGAGTAACACTCAGCATTAGAGTACTGAATACTAAAATACTATTGGCCATCTTCACACCTGGGAAGTTGTGTATGGAGATATCTATACAGCTGTCTGTGTCCTTAGCAGGTGTATGTATAGAACAGAAGAGGGTTTGATTATGAAGTACACTGTCCTTTACCTGTAATCAAATATTGATACTTGTTGACTTCCAGCTTGACTCCACAAAGACTTTCAGAGGCTTCTGTGTAGATGTACTGAACATGTGGCATTATCTGGAAGCCCCTGTACATCTAGAGAAAGAATAAAAATGCTTTAAGTCAACTTAAGATGACAACTTTTAATTTAGATTCTTTACAGTCTATGTTCCTAGACTTCTAGCAAGCAGTGAACTTTTAGCATTTACAAGCATGAAGGACTAGTGGCAGTAGCTGGACTCTGAGGAAAGTCACCCCCATCAGATCTGCTGGTAAAGCAGAATACCCACCTGCTAACAAGCCATTGCAATTCAGCACAGGGACCAGTTTTCCCCACTCGCATTAGTTCCAGTGGCACTGAATGAGCAAAGCACCAACACTACCAGCTCTGCCAACATCCTGAGCAATTTTTTCCCTTTATATAGTTCATAATTTGGGAGAAATTAAATCAGTTCAAGTTTGGAATCTCTCTCCTTCATGTGATTTAAACTATTTCTTCCAAACTAAGGGATTTTTCTTCGAAACAATGACCTTGTTTTTCAGTGTTGCTCCTGTAAGTGTTTCAAACCTTTGGCGCTTGATCTAAGTCACCAAGCCAGCCACCTCCTCCTCAAATGCTGACCACAGCAACTCCTGCTGACCTCAGCAAGGATTTCATGTTTCTGTAACTAAATGAATGCAGAAATAGAATTCTACAGCATCGCCTAAATTTAGCCCAGTACTGATGGGCACCATGAAGAAAATATCATGTATACATAATTCCTCTGCACTCTGTCTCCTTTTTCATTATCTTTCTTCCAGTTCAATTTAATTGAAATACAAATCCACAGATATAATGGCAGTTGGATTCAGTCAGAAATTAGCACGTGGCCTTATCTGACCTGACCTTACTGCTGCAATTTAGGGAAACTCATGCCCACTTACTAGTAGCATAAAGAAGTCTGTGTGTAGCAACGAAACAACTGCTGTATGTGTAGACTGGCCCAAATAAAAATATCCTATTTTTGAAACACTGAGGATTATTTTCCTGACAATTTCATCTTGGCTATCTTTTCAAAGCATTAAGTTTCTCTTTTTTCCCCACCAACGGTATGAATGGCCAATGCTTAAAAGTTAAAGGAAAACAGTAAGAGTCAGAGAGAATCACAGTTTGATAGCATGTCCCAGCTTATCCTTTCCTCTGTCAGCTTTAGTGATAGATAGCACATTCACATTTAGTTTAGCTGTAAATATGAAAGAGAGGCAAAAGAAGAAAAAAATTTCAGACAATCCAGAGCTATAGATCCTTGCTGCTCAGTCAGCTAAGCAGTGGCATTCTCCTCCATGTGGTATTCCATTTCATGAGGTCCCCTATTATCCCAGGATATTTCACTATTCCCCACCTCTTTTAAAGACAACAAACCTTTTCCTTTCTGAAAGAATGTCTGTTGATTGAACTTTTTTTACACTAGGCCCAGATACTGCTTATTAAAATATAAAAAACTGCTACTAATTCTGCTATGCTGAGAGGTCAGACTATCTTCTGAGCATCCACAGACTGTCTCCCCGGTTATTTTTTCTCCTTAGTTATGTTAGCCCAAAAAGCATAATCTTATGACAGTATCATAACCCAGTAACAGCACTATTGTGTACAGTAAAACACATGCTAAAGGGTTTGCATTTCCAGCTTTTCTTCTGCACTCAGCAAATACGCAAGGAAAGCATTTTTTAAAAATAAATCATACTGTACCAAAAAAACCTCACAGATTGTGTTTGAAATATATAATTGTTTCTATAAGTGAGCAACGTCTTTCAAGGAATATGGAAGAACTGAACCTTGCCTAATCTCTGCTTTATCCCTACAATTTTCTTGGTACGGTATGTTCTATGCAGATTTTCCAATTATGCTTCAGATAGTTGGAGATCTAGGTTCTGGCACAACCACCCCATCTGTCCTTGGATAAGTTATTTAGCCCTCAGTACACTTTAGCTCCTCATCTGTTGAACAGCTCTGCCTTGCCTCCCATGGGTACTGCAAGGAAAGGCACATAGAAGAAAGGTCACGCGTTCAGACCCCATTCTAGTGGGTGTTACACCAAGAAGCTATGATAACAGTATCGAAGCAGATAAGACAAGCTAAGATAACAGCTGGGGCTGCCCAGTCTCTCCAGGCATTGCTTTATCTACACTGCAGAGAGCTGTATGCTGTGCATGTGCTGTACAAGTGATCTGTCACTCAGCGTCATGTCAGGCCAATCAAGCAGCTGTGCTATAAAGTCTACACATGCAGAGGAACAACTTTGAGCCTACTCTCCCCCTTGCAGAAAAGCACATGCAAGACTGCCCAATCCTCTGAGAAGCTGCTCAGGATCCTTACAGTCATCACTACTCATATCATCTGCAGCATCAAGCTCAATGTGACTGCCTATGAAGTAACTAGTGATGCCGAACGAGTGTTTGGTTTTCAACTCCTGGACCTAATTTACTGTTCACATTACCATCAGAGGCTCCATTGTTGGGGTTGCTGAAGGAAGCATGCTCTGCCTCCCAAAAAGTACTTCGGCTCACCCCTCAGTGACCCCTCACTGATGCTAGCAACTGTCACACTAACTGACCAGTGCTGGGTGCAGCCAGGGTCTGCCTCATGCTCTTGTGACTAAAGAAAATTCACCATGACCTCTGTTCTCAGGGAAGGAAAAAGATAATTTGGCAAGGGGGAATCTTCTACAGATGTCCTCTTTAAAAAAACAACAAAACAAAAAAAACCCAACACCTTAAGCATTATTTTTGGATACACAAAATATCCTGGAAGTGCTATTAGACCAGCCAGAAGACAACCAAGCATAAAGCTAGCCTCTCTCCTAACTGCTATCCTCTGAGTCCTCCTGTCACCACAAAAGCATATTTTCAGAAGCGTAATGACAGGGAACAAAGTATTAGCAAGTATCACATGGTGGTGTCTGCTAGTGCTGCTCTATTTCCAGCTATGTCAGCATTCCCCTTAGCAGCCCCCATACTGCCTCAGAAACGCACATGCAAATCCTGTGGTGGTTCTTGCTGCATGATTGAATTCACGCTGAGATACGATGTTCCTCCCTCTGCCCTTTCCACGTGAGGTTGCACCATATACAAAGGCTTGGAGTCATCTTGTCTAACCTTCAGCTACCTAGAATTTAGGTACTTCATAAGAATTAGGGATCTTCTTCAGTCAAACGCCAAGAACAGGCAGCTCCAGAACAACTCAGCCCATCCTAAAATAGCTGTCTAAAATTGCTGGGCTGAAGTACACTTTGGTCGTTCCTATCGCTCTCCATTGACAATCAAGAGAACAGGAAAGTCTCAACACCTCATTTTAGTCTGTCTAAAATTAAACTAAATTAATCCCACCCCACTTCTTTCCTCCTGGGACTATCAGGTTTCAACCCTTAGACTCATTTTACAGATTAGCAACAAACCAAGGAAAGCATCCTTGCTTCTGACAGCCTTTGCAGAGTGCTGCCATGGTCAACCAGGACTGTTTGTGTACATGGAGGAGAAATATCTTATCTCCTTGTTTCCTCTGCAGTTTCCTGAAATAGGTTTGGGCCATTCTCAGAATGCAACACAGCATCAAGGAACATGCAGGGGGTTATATCAGTCTTGTGCAGATTTCTAACATATGATCTTGAAATGCTCTTAAATTACTTGAGAAAGCAGTGGGGAAAGGCAGAGGGCACTTGAAAAAGCACAAGGCCTTTTCAGACAACAAGCCTGAATGCTAGAAAGCCTGGTGCTGTTCTGTGTCTGTGGGCTGATCTTGTGCTCCGGTCCAGGCCTCAAGCTGGTTTAGTTGTGAAATTCAGCACCAAGTTCAGGACTGCTAGTGAGAGCAAGAATCAGTCGCAGCAAACTCCAAGGAACCCATGAAAGAAACAGAAAGATTGTTTGTTGCCTTTTAAGGCTCTTAGCGCTTTTCACAGGCAATTCAGTACCCAGTAATAGACTAAATAGCTTGTTTATTTTTCATCTGCAGGTGCAGACGGGTTTACAGGTCAAAAAACACTAACATGTTAGTTTTATCTTCCGAGTTGTTCCCATGCAGCTGTGCAGAGCCATAGGCCTCCTCAGTTTTCTTTTCAGCAGGAAAAAAACAGCAGGACAGTCAGCTTTCATTGGGGACAAGCAAAGAGGAGATTTGCTGCATCATTCTGAGCTCCCCCACTGTATGGAGCTGAATCCCTCTTTATACTGAAGTCTGTAAGCTCAGCAGAAAGACAGCAGAGTTTCAAAGAGGACACTTGGTTTGTTTGTTTATCAAGTACTATGTCCTCCGGACATACCAGCTCTACTGAGCACTTTGACTGCTCCAGGTTCCTTCCTGGCAAAGGTCACAGTTAAATGTCCACTGCAACATCTCACCAGCCCACTACCTATGTAGCAGGCATAAAGGCAGTTTGATCAACACACCATCTCCCCTTCAGAATAATTCTCATTTTTGTTGGACGTGTAGCTTCCTAACTAAACACCGTGGAACTGCTCCTGCAAAAAATACAATTATTCTCTTGTGGTCTTGGCATTAGGATGTTGCAGATCACTGCAGTATCTGCTGTGAACATCCTGGCCCTGTGCTGCAGAGTAACACAGTGAAAACAGCTGGGACAGGCACAGGCATACAGGCATCTTATTTAAAGATTGACATGATGGTGTCTGTTGACAGTAGAGTGGCTGCTAATCCATTCAACATGCTCACCTTGCCTGGGCCTGTGCTCTAGAAGCCTTTTCTATTTGTAGCAGGGACACTGCTGCAGGCTCCTAGGTGAGAGGAAGAATGCTTAATGCTGTTCCAGAGATCTCTGACACTGCAGCTCGCTGGCTGACAACAGGGCATGCTGCATCCTTGGTTGGGAGAGAGTGGGTGGGTAAAGGGCAGCAACTCATTCTGGGGACTACTGTTATTCTAGATCACCACTGGACCTCATCCATGGTCATGTGTCAGAAAGGAGGCAGGGGTCCTGTGCAGACCAGGATGAAATCAGAAAAGCTGAAACCATGTGGACATTGAGTAGTTTTGTGAGGTAGGGTACCCTGGCTGAGGTAAAGAGTGACAAAGCTGGCCAGGAACAGCACAGAGCACTGCAAGCCTGATGAGGCCAGGGATGGCCATTAAAAATTCAAATAAATAAGTAAATACATACACAAATGAAGGAGCAGCAGCACTGCCTCACTGCTGCCAACACAGCCAGTTGCCTTTTTTTACAAATACAAGTTAACCAACCAATCCGCATTTCCTTCTGAATCTTAAAAGGGAACGTTTCAGAGGAAGGACCTGGGCCAGCCCCGCATCTCACGCCCGCTCGCTCCAGGCGCTGGAATTCCACTCCTGTGGAAGAGCCTGGCCAGGACCCGGCCGGGCGACGTGTGCGGTTCTGTGACCGCTTATGAAACGGGCTTTGAGTCTCCTCCTCCCAGCTTTCCTGCTTAGCTATAAACTGCCTTATAAAGAGAGTTACTGTTACGAGGCAGGCGAGTGACTGTTTTGTTGGGTTTTTTTTCCTGAACCTTTACTTTGTCTAATACGTTTCAGATTTCTGCATCCTCTGCCAAGCTTTTCCATTCCCTTTCTTTTTTTTCTTTTCTTTTTTTTTTAAGACATAAACCAGTCTTATGACTGGAATGGCAACAGCCAAGAAAAACAATCTAGGGCTGATTTTTAGCATTACATAACAAGAAAAAAAAAAAAAAAGCCCTAAGTCTAAAGTAGCAGGTTGAGTGCAGTTTATGCAGCAAAGAATTAGAGCTCTGAAGACAGGAGCTAGAGAAACCAAGCAACTGGGGCAGGCCATCCACCTCTTTTCAGCTCAGAGTCAATGCTTTATAGCTCTTCTGAGTTGATGATATTTAAAAGCTACAGCGTTTGGTTAAGCGTTATAAAAAAAGACTTCACTATACAAGTTTCACTTGTCCTGTGCACGGAAAAAAAATGCCATCATTGTAACTGGAGGTCACAAAGGATGCAAGGAAAGAAGAGATGAAAGACCACTCTCCCAAGCTAGCATACCCCCTACCACCACTACATTTTTAATTTAATGAAAGTACTATATAGAAAAACTTGTATTTCCACAGTCTAACACAGTGTACGCTGAACACTAACAGGACTCCAGTACCTAGAGAAGCCCATTTGGCATCTTTTACTACCAGAAAATTTTTAAATAAAGGAAGAATTCAGATTTTCAGCACTGTATGCCAGGAATAACCTGCTCCTTACCCCTCTCCTGGCAACCTGTTACCAATTGCTGTCTACCTTCCATTTTGGGTGACCAATAACAATAAGTTGAGGTGCTGTTATTTTAACTACACACAGTCTATTCGTTAATACATGCTAATTAGAATCATTATCATATCTTTAAGCCTGTGTGGAATGTCTGCAAACATACCTTCATCTGCTTGACTGTGTATCGCATTGTTCCAAATGGTCCATCTTTCATTAGCTTCTTCCCCACAACTTTAGCTCGGATCACTGTCACAAGAGAGGAAAAATACAACAAATTGTATACAGCTTCACACAACATTTCTGCTAGACCCCCCACTTCAGAAAAGATAAATTATTCTGCAAAATAAAACAAAACTCCAAGCCAACTTTCCTCTCTATTTATTCTGAATCTCATACATAACAAAGGCATGTAAAATGGGATGCCAAAGCAAGTATTTATTTAGAAATCCAGTTGTGTGTGAAGAATAAGAACAAACATGATTTATATTGAAATCTCACTGAAACCTGAAAAGCAGACTACAGCTGGGACCAAGACAGCTTAAAAATCTTTGCACCAAGCCACTGGGATGAAGTTTGTATTTAATGTCTTAACTCTCAAAAACCAAAATTATGTTCAAAAAGTTACTAGATTTAAATTGTTCTTTGGGTACCTTCTGTTCAGCTTCTGTTTCCCAATAACCATGACAGTACAGCACAGAGCCCTGGAATATCCCATATCTGGGGACTTTACTACAGCTGCTACCTTTCAGATACCACAAAAACTCCCAACAAATGGCTGCTGTGCAAAAACAAATTGTTCAGCAAACAAAATCCACAGTGAAAGCTGCCAGGCCAGCCAGAAGGCAACTGGAAGACAAAGTAAAGCTGACCCATAGATAAGGATTTTGAGATCCCTCAGATGGATCATATAAGCACCAGAAGTGGCTTCATTTTTTATAAAGGCCACACAAAATGAGGTTGGAGAAGACCATCCCAGGACAAATAAAGATCATTTTTAGAAAACCCTGTACTCCAAAAGACACTCATGCAAACAACAGGACAATAATAATATTTTTTTTTAAAATCCCACACAAAACAAGGAACTCAAAATTGTATCAGTCAAGGGAAACATGAAAATTATAACATAATTGGACAAATCTTTCATAAAAGGTTATTAATTAAAAGCTTCTCATTACAAGGGCTATGAAAATTATTCCAGTAGACTAATCCAAAGAATGAAACATAATATGATTGACAACGGGATAGTTATTTATAAATCCCCCAGAAACCCTTTTTTTATGGAAAAGGAGACATCAGACACTTTTGCATAAAGCCTACAATGGTACACCACTGCAAACAACACACCTCTGCTGAATATATGGACCAATAGTTCCAGACTATTGAAATACAACAACTAAAGCGGACCAAATGCATAATTTCCTCTGAGCCTATGAAGGTCCTGGTCACAATTCCCTGCACAAGACAGAGGTACTGCTTTCACAGCCATCTTTTGCAGCATTTCATCTGTTTTCTGCTAAATGCATCATATTAATGCATCACAGAAAACCATTTATTAAAAAGCAGGAAGTCATGAAAGGGAGAAAGAGGTGGAGGTACTCCTTTGCAGGCAGGAAAACTCTACCAGTTATTTGCATTACAGCACTACCTAAAAGCAGCAACAAAGTTCAGGGATTAATTTTGCTACACAAGCATCTTGTTGCTTCTTAGCTCATTTGGGTTTCAAGCAGCCATAGAAGCCCACTGTAATAAATGGGGAAAAGAGGAGGCTAAGTTTTTGCTCACTGCCTAGACTGAATTAATGAGGCAAAAAGCTTGTCCCAGCTTTTTGAATAATCTGAAGAATAGATCTAAAGGAAAAGACAGGTCTGGTTATACACACCAGGTTCCACGAATGGTGTGAAATGAAGACAAACTCACTCTGCTCTGATTTATATCCTGTGCTTCAGCCAGAGTTGTCAAATAAATTTTAAGCTAGGTAAGACATCCCTGCTGGCTTTGATTCAAAGGACCAACAAAACCTTCATTCATGGAGTGTCAAACTTCATTCTTAATTTATTTTTTTTTCCAACTTCTAGTATCCAATGGTAGTAAACGCCAGTACAATTTTATTGGTTCTGCTATTTAACAAGTTGTTCAGACTTCAATTTACTCCCATCTTCAAAATTTATTATTAGCCACACGGAAGCATGTCCTTGAGGATGGCAAATATCTTTAAGAACTAGGTTCTTCCATTTGTTGCCCCCAGCCACCACAACCACCAGTGAAGCTACAAAAAAAAGACTTTCTAAGGGTCAATGAGAAATAATACAATTCTTTTAAGGCTTGTGAATTCCAGGGCACTTCATTAGTTCTGGAGCCTATAGCAAAGGTTATAAAAAATCTTATCTTCATCTAGCCAATACACTGAAATTGTAAAACCTGGTGTTTGCCCAGCACATCTGAAATGAACAATGAAATCTTGCATCTTATTGATAATGATAAGAAATATACTAAAAGGCAATATTCCAAAACACTAGAGTTTCCAAACCAGAACTCAGCATAAAAGAGGACAGGCACATCTCCAATTGCTGAGAAAATACCTAAAAAACCCGTTTTCTTCATGTACTTCACTGCTATCTTGGCAGCCTTTTAGCTTCTAGTTAAGAGTAGCACAGCAACTTCAGGAAGAAACTAACTTTGATTTATGGACTAATCAACAGCTTTACCACAGGACTAAAGATTCAAAATTCTCATCTACAATAGCATGTAACAGCATCCCAGTTTCAACTGTTACCCTTGCAAGCAAGTGGAAGGATCTGTGACTGGACTAAAAATACTCGCATTTTCAGATTATTGTTCCCCAGTAAAGTTAGAGAAGAACAAACCATCAGAGGCTAGTAAAGACCATGAAAAACCTTAGTGTGGGCCATTACTTCTAGTCTTTTGCAAATGAGTCAAGCCCTGTGTATCTCAGAGACACTGCCTTTGTCACCCAAATGGTAACTTTTCTAGGTAAGTTCCTTCTGATACCTAAAAGCTAGAAAATGACAAAGAACCCACCCTGCCTCATTTTTCCCATATTAAAGGAAAAGTCAAGCCATTAGCCAAGAAGCAGAGGATATTCCAACTTAAATTCTACCCCTTGTATTTTGTTAGACTAAATTCCCACCCCCTGAGGATTAGATGCTTCTGGGTAACTAGAGAAATGCTGGATGCATGATAGGACTGCTCAGAGGTTGCTTGCAGGTCCGCCTTCATCACCCTAAGCCTCCACACACGAGAGCCACTTGTACATCTGCCCAGAGCAGAGCTCCAAGCTGGACCACTATTCACACCTGCTCAGAAGATAAAAAACATTGATCCTTTACTGAGCAGGGGTCATGCATACTAGCCAGAGGAATATGGCAACCTTTACAAATTATCAGAAATTTACAGTGTTTCTGCTACAAATTAAGTCTATGTTACACTAACAAAGTCAATTGTTTACTTCTGGAAACTCCTACTGCATGAGCAGAATGAGGCAAAAGGTGCAACAACAGTTCCCCTGAACTCTTTCCTTCTCCCTGAAGTTCTGTTACAGTCCTGCTATTACTGATGGGAAACTTTATCCCACACAAGTGGTCACCAAAATAGCTGCATATTTTTAAACCACAATTCCTTTGAAGTACTGCCTATGAAAATACTCCAAGATGAATGTTTCTCAGTACTTTGGGGTTTCAGGTCGGGTCACTTTGTGGGACTGGAGCAGTTGGCAAGGTCTCATGAGTGATTTGTAATTATTTATGAGAAGTTAAATCTGATGAGGATATAAATCTTGACAAGATAAGCAGGCAGCCATACTATTATTCAAAGAGCAGAAAACATACGAGCTGCCTCTCAAGATTTTACATTATTTTAAAAATGAGGGAGAGAACAGAAAGGAAGAAAACTGGATATTTAGTTGCTACTCTTAAAAAAATCTTAAGAAAAAAACAACCTGCTGTTTGAGGATTCAAAAATACTAATAATGTATCACAAATGGTGAATGTATTTATCTCTCTTCCCTTGTCTTTTTTTTTTTTTTTAATAGAAACTAGCTTAGTGCTTAGGAAAACAGAGATGGGTCAGATTTGCCACAGGACTAGTACAGTGCAAGCAGCTAATGGTTTGTATCTCACTGGCACCTACAGCATGGTACAAACTGTCTGCATAATACACACAAAAATCACCTATTTTTCCAAACGTCATTGGATCAGTTCTTATAAAGGCAAACAAACAAGAATGAGCATAGGAGAAAAAGCTCCTACATGCACTTTTATTTGCCCAAATGCACACATCTCTTTTAACTTTATCCCTGAGCATTTTCTCAAGGATCCATAGGAAGAATAGGCCTCAAGGCAAGATTTGAAGCAGAAGAGGACAATGGCTTTACAGCAGAGACAGCAGATGCATTCTTTTCATGAGGCAAGGAGGAGAACAAATAGGCAATGACCAATGTGAGGGAAATGGACACAAGAGATTAGACAAGCATTGGCCAAGCTGAGGAAACAACATGGTGGAAAGACTTGTAATTACCAACTCGTTTCATCCAGGTGTACACTACATGTGTAGTAGCTCTTTATCCTAACCGAAAAGCAAAGGCATCAACTCCAGCTCATGTTCCTTACCTGGGCCAGCCACCAGATGGTGACACTATCACAAATCTCACCTTCCCTTAAGGTGAGGACAGTGGTACATGTTCAAGCTAACACCACGAATCCCAGTTGCAATCCCAACTGCACCATGAGAACCAGACACTTTCATGCACAGGGTGGCTGTCATCCATAAAGAGTATTTTAAGTGGGCGGACACACCCTTTAGAGACCAGACTTTGCTCCAAAGCCATTTCTCTCATAACCAATTATCATGAACAGTTCAGGGGACTAACAAATGGCTTCACATTATTGTTTCAGGGATCTGTTTTATAGTTGTATAATATGAGTCTTTTTAAGAGAGAGGTTTGGCCAAGATGCGTGCTCACTGTCTCTAAGTAAGTGAAGGATATGGAGGATTGATACTGTTTAGCATTCAAGACACAGGGGATAAGTTATTTTCCCAGTCCCATCTTTGACCTCCAAAGAGTGGCAAAATAAAACATACAGGGACCAGCAACTTCACCAGGAGGCTAAAGAAAGGCTCCTTCTCTCCTGAGGCCACTGAATACACCAAGAACTGGACAGCAAAAACAACACCCAACAGAAGGGTGCACTTGGGAACGCTGCCTTAATGCTAGACACAGGACATGCCAA